GTGCAGGCAGCTGTGGGGGACAGGGAGCCCGGTGGCGCCAGACCCTCTGCGGGACCCTCCAGTGAGTGGATGAATGAAGCATGTGGGTGGGAGCAAGCGAATCCTGGCTCAGCGTGGGAGCGCTGGCCAATCAAGGGCAAGCTGGCCAGCCAGGTCTGGCGGGAGCCACCCTCCAGGCACAGATCAGCCCGGTAGGATAGAGTTGTGTGCCTGGGCAAGGACCAGCCACGTGGAGCTCTGTTGGCGGCAGAACTCCCAAGCAGGACCGAGGTCGGCTGGAACGTGCCTGGGAGAAGACCAGTACGGTGGAGCCTTTTACGGGGAGGAACCTTCTCACACGGAGCCCTTGCAACAGCAGCGAGCCTGCTCTAGCAAGCTAGGTTTGTGCCTGGCGTGGGAGGGTGCTAGTTGGGCTCCAGGCGGGTCAGGAAGCATAGGGCCTCCCCATCAGCCAGGCGGCATCTTTCCGGTGTCTGTCTTCGCCCCCCAGCTTCAGGTGGTGGGGCGGGGCACGGACCACTTACTCCCCTGGGCAGCGTGAGGCCAGCTACCCAGTACACAGGCAGCCGGGGCTCCCATGGGACTGGTCGCTAGGGCCATGGTGGGACAGCCAGCGTCCACGTGGCCCCCCTCCTCGTGCCTTGGTGGCTGCGAGGGAGTAGCCCTGAGGCAGGGGGAGCTCAGCGGCTACGGCAGAACACGCTACGAGTTCCCGCCCACATGGGCTCGCAGCCGGGGCGTTCCTGGGGACTTGTTTCCTGCGCCCGCAGGGACTGCAGCGGAGTGGCTGGTGCCAGCGAGGCCCCTTCCCCCTCATGGAGGGGGCTCTGAAGGAGTCGCGAGGCCGGCTGGGGGGCGTGGATGCCTGGGCCCAATGGCAGTTTACTCAGTGGGCACAGTGGCAGGGCGAGGGGCAGATGAAGAGCTTTGCTCTACAGGTCGCACGCAGGCCATCAGTCCGGCTGGAGCTTCAGTAAGGCACCGTGGGGTAGCAACAGAGCACAGAGCATCTGACGGGCGTACAGAAGGTCCCAGCTTCACTCCACAGCCTAAGTATGGGATGCAGGCAGTAGGTGATGTGAAAGACCTCTCTGCCTGAGAGAGCCGCTGCTGGTCAGAGCAGATGATTCTTATATTGGTGGACCGAGGGCCCGATTTAGAATAAGGCAGCTCCATGTATGCTGAAGTAGAAGTGGCTTATCCCTTTCCCTGAGATGCTCCCAGATCTTATAAATCTACCCCCCCCTTGCGAGAGCTACAGCCAAGGCCATGGGAGCAGGGCTTTGCAGTAGGATCTCCTGGGGTCATTTCCCCTGGGAGCGCACAGGAGTGGAGCTCCGGCAGTAAGGAGCCCAGGGGGCAGGCACATGCAACAAGGCCTGCCTCCTGCTCCGAGCAGCCCTCAGTTGGGCCACGAGGAGCAAGAAACAGCCAGGTAAGTTGCAGAGCCCCCTCCCCGGCACGCCTTCAGGTACAAGCTCTTCCTCCTCTGTGAGGGAAGATCTGCGCATTCCCCCCTCCCCATAGCTAGCAATCCAAAACAGTCCAGTGGCACCTTTAAGACCCAATTTTATTCAGGTACAAGCTCTCCCTCCTCTGTGAGGACAGATCTGCACGTTCAAACCCCGCCCCCCCAATAGCTAGCAATCCAAAACAGTCCAGTGGAGCCTGAGAAATGGGTGTTGCCTTCTGACACACTTCCGGTGATGTCAGGGGGTGTGGCATATTCAAATGAGTTATGCTAATAGGTTATGCTAATGAGCTCCTGCACCTCTTTTTCTACGAAATAACCCCTGAGGATCTCTGATGGATAGTTAGACAGGAAGGGAGGCTTCTGGGGCAGTAGCTCCGGCACCTCCAATTTAAAAGCTTCAGGAGGGGGCGATACTGTTTCTAAGCGGTGGAGCCTTGGGAGCAAAAATTTTATTTTGTGAGCTACTGGCATTGAAGTTGCGAGTGAGCAATTCGGCTACTGCACGCTTAGGTTGCTCTGCAGCCACCCTTCATGAACGAAGACAAAAATGTGTGTGCCAGAGGCTAATGAATTAAAACAAACCAAAAAAAACCCACCTGATCTTGCTCACACTAACTCAGCTTAGAGGGAAACACTGGGTGGAGATTCAGGAGAGCGGCTGCTGGTCTGGAGAGACGATCTGACTTGAAGGTCTGATTCAAGACAGCTTCATGTGTTCATGGGGCGACTACCCAGGGGTAGGCATTTTATTAAAACACAGCATTTATTTATAACGGATTTTCAATGACGATTTTTGACTGGTTTTAATTGTCTGTTTAAATACTTGCCTGCTGAGCAGAGCAGTTGCAACAGACAAACTGATCAATGAAAAAGCAGCTCTTTGTTTGCATTTGGTGAACAGGATGTCAACCAAACCGGCAGCTGTTCAAGCATTCCTACATAAGAGTAGGGATGAGCCAATACAATGAATGCATCTAGCTTTCTGACACACTTCCGGTGATGTCAGGGGTGTGTGGCATATGCAAATGAGTTATGCTAATGAGCTGTGCGAATGAGCTCCTGCACCTCTTTTTCTACGAAATGACCTGTTTGACGCTAATGGGTTGATAATTTGATACTTCTGGGCTGATTTTAAATATGGTAAATTGCTGTTCTGGGATTGTATCCATTTTCGCAAACTGCCATAACGACCACGTTGGGGAGAAAGATGGGATAAAGCTATTTCAGTGAAATAAAAACAAATACTCCTGAAATCAGTCATCCGAACCAGCTGCTCGTGCATTGAGCTCTTAGTGGCCCTCTGCCACTCTTGCCTTTCAGGGGCCTCGGTTTCAGCATAAATGCTATTCTTCCCAAACCCAAGTCTGTTTTACAACAGCACAACGCCTATGTGTGCATTACTATAATATCTAAATAAAATAATTATTCACAAAACATGCAACATACAGAACTTTCAGGCCACGAATAACTCCTCAGTCCAAGGAAGCTTGACAGAGCTCATACTATTCTCCCTCCATAGCTATTTTAGGCTTCATACAAAGAAAGCCAGCAACACGCATTAGGGGATCATGAAGTGCTGCGTCCTGTAAGCAGTGGGTATCTGTTGCTCAGAAGAGAGTTAGACTCCTGGCGTCGTGCCAGCACATTTTAATTCCATTAGTTCATATACTTTTGAAAGGCTCATTACGTAGCCTGATACACTCTCCCTCCCTCCTTCACGCTCATACACACACACGCCCCAACGTCTAGTTTTGCTGCTTAAACTATTTGCGAACTGACATCAACACATTACTTTCAGAACTATGATGAAAGTTTAAAATGCATAATTCCCTGTCTGAATAGCTGAGGATGTTTCCCTTTACACCATCTGAGCAGGCAGATCATTAATAGAACTCGTCAAGGGTTTAGGAAATACTTATAATCCACCTGGTGTAAAGCTCAGGGCAATTTTGGTCTTCCAGAGGTCAAAACTGAAATGAAAACTTCCTGGTCTGAACCGTTTGGTTATCTAGGGAGCCGATCTACGCTCTGTCACAGAGCAGGAATACAGACCCCATGACCTGGTGCTAGAATTCCAGTCATGGCGCAGGGAGATGTGTCATGTGCGGCTCAGTCGCTTGCTGCACACACCATCACTGGAGTGCTGCACCAGCAGCTCCCTTTGCCACAAAGGAGTCAGTGATCTAGAGCCTTGTGACTTTTGGGATACACCAAAACACTCCCAGCATTAGCAGAACGACTGTAACAGAAAACCTGAAAACCATCTACTATGGCCAGGGTCGAATTATAACAAAACAGCACGCATTCTGTTGCTGTGATAGCTCCTGCTCTCTGGAACAGCCTTCCAGAGGAAGTCTCACATGCTCCTTCTCTTCTTCCATTTAGGAGAGCCTGCAAAGCTGTCCTTCTCTGAAGGGCTTTTGGTTAGAAAATGAAGGCAACAGTGTTGTGAAGATGATGACCTTTTGTATATGTTTATCGCCTTTATATATTTATTTATTTTATGACATTTATACCCCGCCCTCCCCGCAAGTGGGCTCAGGGCGGCTTACATAAGGCACCGAGTGCGTTCAGTATACACATTACATAATATAAATTACAGAATTAAAACAACTTAAAACAGCTTAAAATCAGTTCAGCGGATGCACATAACTCCTAACATCTTGTGTAACGGGGGGAAGGCTGGGGTGATGGAAGGATGTTACCCCACCCCCCGGGGTGGTCTCTCTTTACAGAGAGCGGTGGTGTAAGTGGCTGTGGCGGCTCCTACTCATAAGCCTGGCGGAAGAGCTCCATCTTGCAGGCCCTGCAGAACTGCACAAGGTCCCGCAGGGCCCTGATCTCCTCCGGGAGCTCGTTCCACCAGGTAGGAGCCGCCACGGAAAAAGACCTGACCCTTGTTGCCACAAGCTTGGCCTCCTTGGGGCCCGGGGTCACCTGCTGGTGTTGTGACCCCGACCGAAGTGCTCTGTGATGAAAGTTTATATATGGTTTTAATTTGTTATATTTTTAAACTGTATTGGAAGCTGCTTCAACCTGATTTGGAGAGGTGGAGTGTATACATGCTGGAACCTGAAACTGTCACTCTGTGGCTCAGTTTACACAAAACACAAAACCATGGTTTACGTTAACTACGGTTAGTTGGTGAAACCCAGATCAGTCTCACGGACAACCATTCAAATCCTGCTTTGCCTTGACTGGCCTGCACTGCAGCAAAGATGGCACCAGGGAACAAGCCAGGATATTTAGGTTCATATAGTACATAAAACCAATTTCAACCCATGGTTTGATATTCTGATTTGATGTACCCTAACTAGTCATATACATAGCAGAGGTGACTGCACCAACCACAGTTGTTTGAATTAAACCACGGTTTCATGGGACATCTGAACTGAGCCAGTTACTAGCGGCCTAGTCACTCTAAATGGGAAAGACTGAGACATAACACTCAGGACTTTAGACTTTATGGCAATATTATTTACATTAAATTTTGCAAGAAGCTCATAAAACAGGAATGCTTACTTACATTCTTCCTACACCTTCATACATTCGTGTCTCCTCAGCCAAAGTCGTAATCTCTGTGTCTGTAAGATGCGCGTGCTTTTTCGTCCTGTTTAGTTGATCTATTTGTATATCTGCAAGCTTCACTTTTTGCTGGGTATCAATGACTTTTGCCTGAAGTTCAGTGAATGCCTAGTACGGAAGAGAACAGTACAAATGTAGCTACAGTTAAATAAAGTCACCAGCAACCAACTTAACCGTGGCTAGGACCTATCGTCATGCAATGCGTGACATAAGTCATTTCCATTCATTTGCTGCACACATTTTCAGTCCATGTTGAAGGACCTCCTTATATACCTTCCGGCCCATTTCTAAAGACCTCAGTAAAAATGAGACAGAAAATCTAAAAGCCTGCTCTATTTAAGCCTCCCAAAGATTACCCTATACCGGGGGTGGCCAAACGGTGGCTCAGGAGCCGCCTGTGGCTCTTTCATATATATTGTGCGGCTCCCAACAGGGTGGCTGGGGAAGCGAAGGAGAGGCATGCCTCCCCAATCAGTCTTCCCTTCCCCAGCCAGCGTTCCCCTCCCTGGGTAGGCTTGAGGTGAGGGGGAGCAGAGAAAGAAAGCAACTTTAACTTTAAATGTGTTCTCAAAGCCTCCCCCCAGCTGGCTTGGAGAAAGCATTGGTCTCTTTAAATCCCTTCTCCAAGCCAAGCCAGCCAGCCAGCGTGGGGACATGGGGGGGTTGGAGGACACATTTAAAGTTGCTTTCTTTCCAACTCCAACTCCCATCTATTTGCTTTCTTTCTTTCCATCTTTCTCTTTCTCTCTTCCTTCCCCCTCCCTCCCTCCCTCCATGTATTTGCTGTCTTTGTTTCTCTCTCTTTCTACCTCTTTCATTCTTTCTTTCCACCTCTCTCTTAGACAAATAAATATCATTAGCAAACAAATAAATATCATTTTTACCCCTTTTGTTTTTATTTTTGGCAGTCTCGTTTTATGTTAATAAAAAGCAAATTTACATATTTTTCGATCAAAATGTGTGTAATATTTGTTCATGTCTCGCGGCTCTTCAACATCTGACATTTATTCTATGTGGCTCTTACAGTAAGCAAGTTTGGCCACCCCTGCCCTATACCCTTGAAGAGGATTAGCAGATTCTGTCTTGGATGACCTGATCATCAGCCACTTTTGAGAGCTGAAGCTGTTCTTCAGCGTTCACTGTGCTCAGCGTAACCTGGTCCTCATCCTGGTGAGCCAGTTTACTTTTCCAAAATTCTGCATGTTCAGCGCAAAAGAGCGCAAATGCTATATTGCGCTTCTTTAGGAAAGACGGAGCCCAGTATGTCCCGGCAGCTCTTAAATTATTCTTGAGCAAAGCCCTTCCACAAATGATATATGGAACACAGATACTAGCAGAGAGTACATTTAAAGATCTAGAGCTAGTACAATCAAAATTTCTTAGAGCACTTTTCAACGTCCCTAATGGTACTGCAAATTCGAGCTTAAGACAAGAAGCAGGTTTATCTACTGTAACATTGAATATTTGGATACAGAGGAGTAATTATTGGGTTAAGTCCCATCTGAATCCGGTGGGACTTATTCCTGATCTTTTGTCATCAATACCATATCCCCAATGGGCTCTTAGAGTAGTAGATAAATTGAAACTAATTGGATTAGATCCTGAAAATTTGTTAGAAGGAGGTCTGCAGTATGCAAAGAACCTAATACACCAAAGATTTAAGGATATTGAAGCACAAAACAACTATGCAGCCCTGCCTTCCTACTATAAGAGATTAAAGATGGGACCAGGTTTAAATGCTGCATCTTACTTTGGGCTCATAAAAAACCCTAACTATAGATGGGCATTTACTAGAGCACGGCTCGATGTTTTACCCTCAGCAGTACTTTATGGTAGATATACCCGGACCCCCATGCATCAGAGAATTTACTCCTGTTTGTTAGAACAGGTGGAGTCTGCCTCCCATATAATACTTCATTGCCCCTTGTATGATGAAGAGAGACAGCAGTTGCTGACACCCCTTCTCTCACGTTTTAACCCCCTGGCTCATTATCTTACATATGATGAGGATTGTTTGATGAAGTTTTTATTGGCCGATACTTATGATTCTGTCACACGCAATGTTGCTAAATATTGTTACTTGGTAATCAAAAAGCGCAGAATGTATTGTAACTCGAGCCAGTTATGATGGAATTGACCGGTTTGGTATTTTAGTAATTAAGGCCATAAGGATCCTATGTTGTAGATTCTGTGCTGTACTATTTTGGTCTATTTTGCTGGTCTTATGACTGTTCTTAATAAACTTACTTACTTACTTATGACTGTTCTTAATAAACTTACTACTTTTCCAATGGTGGAAGGATAAAGCTGGAAAACTTTTTAACTCTGACAAACTAAATGTAATGCTACTATCCTAAATTACAAGACGGGGACCCGTGATACTCGCGGGGGGGAGAGAGAAGAGCTCCGTCTCCTCCATCCCCCCCCACTCGATCTCCCCGAGGAGGAGGAGGCGGCGGCGAGGCCGGTCCTCCCCCCCTTTTTCCGGGCTCGGCGGCGGCGGCAAGGCCGGTCCTCCCCCCGCCCGGCCGGCTCTGAGGAGGCGGCGGCGGCAGCAGCGCGGCAGCAACGAGGTCAGCTACAAGCATTCCGTGCGCATGCGCATGGATCGCTCTTGCACTTTCGGGGGGATTTAAACATCCCCCTGAAATTTTTTTCTACTTTTAGCATTTTTGTGCACACGTGGGGACTGGCCCACGTGTGCACAAACCTCCCCCTCCCCCCCAAGTGCCCCCGGAGCGCTGATTTAGCGATCCGCACTCCGGGGGCAACTTGGCTATTAGATATATAGATGGGGGGATTTCTCCCTTGTGCTGTAGCGGCGCTTGTGTTTCATAAATTACAGCAAAGCTTTGGACTGTGTGGATCATGAAAAGCTATGGTTTGGCTTTAAAGGAAGTAGGCAAGCCACAGAATCTGATTGTTTTAATGTACAATCTATACTCTGGACAAGAGGCTACAGTTAGAGCTGAATATGGAGAAACAGAATGGTTTCCAATTGCCAAAGGTGTCAGACAACGAGGCATTTTATCCCCATGTCTTCAGTGTGTATGCAGAACATATAAGGAAAGCTGGATTAAATTCAGATGAAGGCGGAATGAAAACTGATGGCAGGAACATAAACAATTTGAGATATGCAGATGACACCACATTATTGGCAGAAAATAGTGAAGACTTGAAACGGCTACTGATGAAGATTAAAGCAGAAAGTCCCAAAACAGGATTACCTCAGAACATCAAGAAGACAAAAGCAGGGCTATTTTTGGACAGGAATGCACAGGAACAGAGTTCCGGCTGGCTCCCAAGTTGGCCACGCCCAGCAGGAGCTCATTAGCATAATAGGCCACACCCAACAGCAGGAACTCATTAGGATTGGCTACATTAGGGGTGTGTGGCCTAACATGCAAAGGAGTCCCTGCTACAAAAAAAGGCCCTGGGTTTTGACAACAAACAAGGTAAACAGAATAACAAGCAAAAGGTGGGTGTGGCTGGATAACCACACTTCTGGTAACATGGGGGTGCGGCCTAATGTGCTAATGAGCTGTGCTGTCAGGGGTGTGGCCCAATATGCTAATGAGCTCTTGCTGTTGGGTGTGGCCTATTATGCTAATGAGTTGCTGCTGGGCTTTTTCTACAAAAAGAACCCTGGACAAAAGTAACAACTACTGGGGAATTACACGACATTGACAATTAAGAAATTGAAACTGTTCAAGACTTTCTATTCCTTGGCTCCATCATCATTCAAAAGGGAGACTGCACCCAAGAAATCAGAAGGAGATTGGAGACAGCAGGAGAGCACCCATGAAGGAGCCAGAAAAGATCCTTAAGTGCAAGGATGTGTTCCTGACAACCAAGAACAAGCTAATTCATGCCATTCTATTCCCCATTACTATGTATGGGTCTGAAAGTTGGACAATGAAGAAAGCTGACAGGAAGAAAATAGATTCCTTTGAAATGTAGTGTTGCAGGAGAGTTTTACAGATACCATGAACCGCCAAAAAGGCAAAGAAGTGGGTCGTAGACCATACCAAGCCTGAACTCTCCCCTAAAAGCTAAAATGGCTAAACTGAGGCTATCATACTTTGGTCACATGACGAGAAGACAAGAAGTCACTGGAAAAGACAATAATGCTGGGAAAAGTTGAAGGCAGCAGCAGGAAAAGAGCAAGGCCCAACATGAGATGGATGGACTCAGTCAAGTTCAAGTTCAAAACCTTTATTGGCATAGATCATAATCATACAGTTGCCATTCAGTTCATGGATTTGACACACAGCTTCCTCATTATAAGGCAGTTACAGAACTTGGCAACCGCTTCAATAACCGCTATATTTTGTGAAGCCAATAAACGATACAACCTTCTGTCATCGGATTGCTTGGCATCATTCTTAAGAATATCTTCTAGATAGGCTTCCCGAATGTCATCATACAAACTACAATAGAGGAATACATGTTCGATTGTTTCAATCTCCTCTGAATCACAATCACAGAAGCTTACAGAGTTGGGGATTTTGTTAAATCTTCCTGCTAAAACCGCAGAGGGGAGCACATTAAATCGGGCCAGCATAAATGCTCTACGCGGCTGTGGGGAGGTCAGATCTGCTAAGTATTGTGCTGGGGCGTTAATCAAAAAACGTGCCCATCTTACAGGGGAACATCTACCAGAAGCCAAAGCTCTAAGCTCTTGCATTTCAATATCAATTACTCTCTGTTTGATCAGAGCAAAGATGTGTATTTCAGATAAGGACATCATATCATTCAGGCATAAGCCTATTGAGACGATTTTCCTTTCTATAGCAGCAAACCACTTAGAACAGTGAGACTCTTTCAGCAGATATGGAATAAGGCTATTGGGACAGCTCCTGAAATGCAGACATCACCAAAATCTAAAAGTAATTATCCAAGCCCTTGTTTCCAAACGTATCAGATTGGCTTCCAAACAAATAGCAGCATAAGAAACACACAGTGGCAGGCCTAGTATTTTCCTCACAAAATTGGATTGAAGTTGTTCTACCATTTTGTTAAAAGCAGTAATCCAAATGGGCACCCCATAAAGAAGCATCGCTCCAATTTTATGCTCAAACACTTTTAGGGCCGCAGGAACAGGATTG